ATGTCTCAAAAAATTTTATTCTGTGAAAAGTTTAAAATTTTTTCGTTTGCATATCTTTAAGGGATTTATCTTCTAAAGCATCTAAAAAAATTTTGTTTATTAATATTATTTGTTTAACTAAAACATAAACAGTTAAGGGCATATAGAGTACATCTTCGATAAATAAATTCATAACTTCTTGTTCACTAGTCCTTTTTTCAGAACTACGTATTTTAATCATTTGAAAGAATTCATAATCTTCATATTGAAAAAGCAACTTATCCACTTCAATTTATAGCTGAAATATGTTAACTATTTTATCATTTATAATCGAATTTGATATGCCCAGTAAATAAATTTTAAGCAAAAATGTTTCTAATACCATACATGATTCTGATTTAGTTAGCCATGACATTCTTATGTTGCAAATGCAATAAACCGTGTAAAATATTTCTATAAAGATTTTTCACTAAATTTAATAAGTCTATCTGGTATTTAAACTTTACTTATTTCATCATCTTTTTTAATTTTAAGCTACTATGATCTGTTAAGAACAATCACTTCTAATAATATGTTTAATCAAAGATTTGATAATTTTTCTTTCATTGCTACCTGCTAATTCAATATGAGTTCTGTTTGCGTTGAATTCGAGATTTCTGCTGTTATCACCAATTGATTGGTTAATATTTTTTTCGATGGCTTTGTTAGAGTATTAAACAAATAGATTAATAAAGAGCATGTAGAATTAACTGTACTAATTTAAAGAACTAAAGTATAATTTTAATTCTATAATCAAGTAAGTTGTTTCGAATATGTAGTATACTTCATTGAAAATTTATTGTTCTTTAAAAAGCATTTATTTAATTTAATAAAAATCCTATATTTTTATTAAAAACTTAAATACTCGTTAATTATAAATTTTAATTATATATATTTTATTTATAATGTTATGAGTATTGTTTAGTAATTTATATCCATTTCTTCAAAATTACCAAAATAAAAAATAAGTTGATAAATACTACATAATATGAAAATTTTAATATCTCTAATATAAAATTTTCTAATATAAATTTAGAAGAAAATATACTACAGGAATTTTTTTTTTTTTTAATAATCATCCCTTCTGTTTTTCCTCACTATTAAACCATTTTTCAAAAAAAAATCAATAAGTTTTATTATGTAATTTAATTTTTCCAAAAAAAAAACAAAAAAGGATTAACAATTAATTTTTTTTTCTTTTTTTTATCTAGTATTTGCATGGATAACTATTTATTATCCATTCAGCTATTGCTTTTTACCATCAAAAAGGTTAATAACACCCCTTATTAACAAGCTGCATACAAGTAGTTTACTAATTTATAGTATTAAAATTATATTTAAATTTATTAAATTAATAAAAAAAAAAAAAAAATATTTTTTTAAAATTTTTATTTTTAAGTTAGAGTAATATAAACACAACAAAAAATAAAATATTTTATTATATATTTATAAGTTGATTGTCAACATAAGACTTTGTTGTCCTTTTTGAGTATTTATGAAATGATAGTTGATTACATTGAAGCAATTATTATGCACGCATGGTAATTAGAAGAAATATGTGGAGATATAAATAAAGATACGTAGAACTATATTTTGTATGCGCAAAAAAACCGAAACGCATTAACAAGAAATTAAATACCTTCTGAAATATAGTAGGGGCATATTTATAAAATATTCGTGTAATTGATAACAAAAAAAAAAAAAATAGAAATATATTAAATGTAGTATTTTTATTTACTGTGAATATATTTTTCTCTATTTTTTTTTATACAGTTTTATAAAAACCATTGAGAAATGAAATAAAGACTATAAGATATATAATAAATACGCTATATTTATTCTAAATAAATAATTGCATAATAGGCGCATAATTATTTACTCGAATAATTTAATGATATATAAGATAAAAATTCCTCTATATTTTCTTTATTAATTTCATTATTTTAAATTACTATAAAGAGCTCTGAATAGTTATTTAATAATTGTTGTTTATTGATTTTATTAGAATTGAAGAAACAAATTATTAAAAAATATGTAGAGAAGACCTTTAGTTATTTCATTTTAATTAAAGTATTAAGCTGATTGTGAACATTTGTTACTTAATATTAAATATTAATTACATTGATTGCTATTATAGTTAATTTGTATAATACTTTATGTGTATAATATTTAACATTAAATTTTTAATATTTCATAAAAAAAATACTTTACATAATCTTTCTTCACGTAAAAGAAAAAAAAAGAAGAAATAAAATCATTATTATAAAAATTTTTTTTTTTAAGTCAAAGTCACATATAAAAAAAAAAAATATATATTATTTTTGTATAATTGTAAGTACGAAAAAAAAAAAAATAACATAGTAAATCTATTTCATTTTTTGTAAATTTACTTTTAAGGTGAGTATTATTTTTATTGTACAAACCTTTTTATGTACTTATATTTTTAGTTCATACGTTTCCTTTTCATTTTAGCATAAATAAATAAAAATGTTTTTAATCATTTTATTTATTTAAATATTAATGAAAATATATCAACAATATTATTTATAGACTAAATAGTCAAATAGTAAATCATTTGGGTCATATAAGCCTTCATTGAACACTTTGAAAATGTATGAAATGATAGTGACTTATTTTAAGGTATTTCATATGTATTCAAGTTAATTAAAAGAGATGAAGGGAAATATGTATGATGATACGTACAATAATATTATGTTTGCACATAAAAAAGAAAAATAGTTATCCAAAAAATGAATACTTTTTGAAATGTAGTTAACACATGTTTATAAAATATACATAATATTAGTAATTTATTAGTTGCATGTTCAGTGACTTTAATAGTAAAGAACAAACAAATTAATAAAGAGAATGTGGTGAAAACCCTACTTATTACACTGAAATAAAATAAATTAAATTATTTATAATTTAAATGAATTTACATAATGCCTAATTTATTAATTACTCGCTAAATGACTTAGTATTAAATAAACTGATTAAAAAAGAGCACTTAGAAAAAGCTCTATTTATTTTATGTTTATTAAAATAAAAATATTAAAAAAATTATTTGATTTTTTTTTTAAATAATATGGAATATTAATTACACTGGTTAAATACTATTTTGGTTAATTTACACGATATTCTATGGATGTATTTTTTGACATTACATCTTTAATAATGCATAAAAAAAATTATTATGCGTCATCACCCACTCGAAAAAAAAGTAATTTTTTTTTTTAAGTCATTATTTTTTTTAAAAAAAACTAAGAAAGAACGAAAAAGAATTAAACTATTACATGATTTATTATCAGTCTATTTAATGACATTCCTAGAATATTGAAAAAATCAATTAATAAAGAATAGGTAAAGATGTTTGTACTAATTTAATGAATTCTAATATAATTTTAATGATATGAATTGGTAAAATATATTTATATAGTATACATTATAGAGAATTTATTGTTTTTAAGAAGAATTTATTTATTTTAATAAAAATTTCTATTTTTATTAAAAATTTAAGTTATCATTGATTATTAATTTTTAATTATATTCATTTTACTTTAATGTTATGAATAATTTTTAGTAATTTAAATTCATTAATATCAAATTAACAAACATAAGTAATTAACAAAATAAATTATATATAACTACAAAACATGAAAATTTTATTATCGTTAATATTAAAATTTCTTGTATAAATTAAAAAAAAAATTCACTACAAAGAAACATTTTAAGGAGCTTTTCTTTTTATTTTGAGATTATTAAATCATTTAAAAAAAAAAAAGTTAATAGATTTTTTTTTGTGTATTTTAAGTCTACAAAAAGAAAACAGAAAAAATTAGATAATTTTTTTTTTTTTTACCTTGCGCTTGCATGATTATTTTTTTATTTTCAATACAGATATTACTCATTATAAACTAGCAACCTAACTTTTAATGAAATTCTAATTATCATTTTGAATATTAATATAAATGAAAAAAAAAAAAATTTCATAATATTTTAATAACTATTTTATTGTACTACATAGTTTTTTAAATGATTATAAAAATTTATATAATAATATTTTCTACATAAATGAATGCATAAAAAAAAAAAGCTAAGAAATAAAATAATATGCACTAATGAATTATTATATTAATTAATTTACCCTTTTAAAATGATAAGAGAAATAAATCTTAGAACCTCTATAAAAGCTAGCATAAAATAGTCATAATTATTAATTAAATTATGGTATGTATGTCTGAATATTATTCAATGTAAAAGCAAAATATTTTTAAAAAACATTATGGTTTAAATTTATTTCTCTAGGACCTTAATCATATTAATTCATTATGAACTTTTCATTACTTAATTGTTTTATTATATAAAAATTAGATATGATTGATTACTCATTAAATAAAAATGTACAGACAAGAAAAAATTTAATTTAAAGTTCTATATAGATATGTTTTTGGATAACTCTTTATTTAGCCTTTCAATAAAAATTAAATTATTGAAAAAGATAAATAGAACATTTTATTAAAAATTTGTGGAGTGATTATAAATATAAGAAATATTTTTATTGTATGAATAGTGATAGACATATAATATAAATTATATATTTATTAGTTATAATAATAGCTAATACCCTTTAAGAAATAGTTCATATAAATTTACACATCTATTCAATAAAGCACTGATTTTTTAAAAAAAGAAAAAGAAATATTTATTTTATTACTCATTTGTTATTTACTCATATAAATTAAAAAGAAATAATAAAAAGTATTTGAATTTGATGTATTATTAACATAAATGTTCAAAAAAAAAAAATTAAAAAAAATAAAATGAGAACAAATTTCTAAATTTAATTATAAGGAATATTATATAATGTATTTTATTTATAAGAATATATATAAAAAAAATAAATATAATCAATATATTTAAAATAAGTTACAATGATTTCCTAAGATTTATGGAGACATTAAGGATTAATCTACATTTTCTTCTTAGTCATCTTCGTCAAAATTTTCGAAATACCCAGAATCAATAGATATTAAATCAAAACGATTATTCCTATGTACTCTGTAATGTACCTTTATTTTGATAAAATTATAATTACTTGTATATATAAAAAAAAAAATGGAAATGTAAATATGTATTTTAAAATGTTTTTTTTAAAATACCTGAATAGATTGGTATAATATACCAATAAATAATGTTACAATAATGCAAATTATAAATAAAGTAATAAATAAAATACTAATAGTATTATTAGAATTATATGTAATATTAAATAAATTAGGTGATTTATCCTCTAAAGAACTATTGAAAGGTACTGTAAGAGTTGCAATGGTGTTACTTTGGTTATCGGACATATTAAATAAATGATATATTTAATGTTCTTTATAACATAATTTGTTTTAATGTAGTTAAATTCAAACTAAAATATTGTTGATAACTTTTTATATAAAAAAAATATATTAGTTTAATTATATATATAAAATTGTGAAAAAAAAAATAATAAATAAAAAAGAAATGTTCCATATTATATATTAGTTTAAATTCATTTAAAATATTGGTAGATTAATATTGCAAAAAAAAAAACATACTTAAAAATTAAAACTTCATTTTTAACTAATAATAATTAATAACACACATTATATATATTTTCTTTAAAATAAATTTTAGAGAAGTTAAATAAGTATTTAAGAAAAATTAGGACTTATTAATTTACATATATTGTTTTTACGTAAATAATTATAGAAACATAAAAATTAACTAAAAATAACATAACATTTAAGTAAATGTATATTAATAAAATATAAACTTTTAAATAAAAAATAATTATATTTCATTTATAACCTATTTTGAGTAAAAAATAATTAGATGTATAAGAATACAAAAGATTAAAGCACTAATTATATTCTATCATTCTTACTAAATTTTTTTCATATATATTTAATTTAATATTAAATTCAAAAAAAAAATTAATTTTTAAAAAAAAGAGATTTTCTTGGATATGTTTTTAATTATACTAATTTTTTTTTTTTTTTATAAACTTAAAATATTCAATAGAATTAATTGATTTATTAAATGTAAATATAAAAAATTCACTAATTCAAATAAAATATTAAAATATTACTCATCATTATATATTATATTTTTTTTTTTAAATTATCAAGTAACACAAATAAATAATAACTTTTTTTTTTTTTTTTTTTATCTTTAAATATTTCTATTTTGTTGTTAATTTATTTCATTAGTGAGTTATTTTTAGTACATAATGTTTTTTAACATGTATGTGATTTTAGTTTATATTATTGTAGATACACTTTTAGTAGTATATAACAAAATATAAATAATTTTAAATTTTAACAGATTATAATAAAAAAATATAAATATTAATTGTTATTTTCTTTATTTAAATTTATTCTTATTTTATCAGCATGTATACAATTAATTTCTTTTTTCATTATATTGATTCTTTAATTATTGCTTTAAAACATATGTTACAAAATATACAATTAATTAATTTTTATTCATATTATGAATGTAACAAATTACTTATAAAAATTTAAGAAAAAATTTTTCTTATTATGAAAATAAAAATTAAAAAATTAATTAATGGTAAAACTTTTAAATACATAGATATGTTATATCTAATAATTCTTTTTTTTTACATAATATTTGATTCTTAATTTTAAAGGAATATTTGCTATAAAAAGAAAAAAAACAATATTTTATTCTTAAATTTTTACAAAAATAAAGGAATATTATATAATAATATTTATATATATATATTATTTATTATAAAAAATTCGAAATATAAATTTTATTAATTTAATTTGAATTATTCTTTTAAATGTTGTGAACTTACAAAAAAAAAAAAAAAAAAAAAAAATCACAATAGAAACATGTAGAAATGTTACCTTATCAAATAAATAGTTATAAAATTTTTATTAATTTTAATAATTTATTTTATTTTATTTTATTTCTTTTTATTAAGTTAATATATAGTTTTTTACTAAAAATGACATCATTTTTTTTTACACATTATCCCTATGTAAATTACTTTGTAAATTTTTAGAATTTATTCTATAAGTATGTGAAATATATAATTATTTTTTTAAGCATCATATTTTTTATTTCGTAAATTTTTTACAGAAAAAAAAAATAATTAATAACATAAAGTATTTAAATAAGGAATGGCCAAAAAATTTTATGTTCATTATCATTCCTTATATTATTTATAAAAATATTTCTTTTTAAATACGTTATTCTTAAAAAAATTTATTAATACGGAAAATATAAATCATTCCTTCTATTTTTTTTTTTTTTAGATTAATTTTATTTTCTTTATATTTTCGAACGTTAATCTATTTTTATTTTTTGCTCGATTGCGTGAAACAAAAAAAAATTTAATTGAAAAATTAATTCTAAATAAAATAATTCATAAAAATAATAATAATAATAAATTAAATGGTAAGCCAAATTTGATTAAAGAGGATATTGAATGGATAAAGGACAAGAAGAATATGTTGAAAGAATTATTAATAAGAAATAGTCAAGAGATGTTGAACTTATCATTGTGGGTAAAGAATAAGAGATGCAGAGAAAGTTTAATTAATGAGAAAATTCTAGAAGAGATTGAAACCTGGGAACAGTGGAAGAATGCAAAGGATGAGGAGTTCGCGAAGCAAGAGGATTATAAATCGCCGGAAAATATGTATGGATGTTTTGCTAAATTACTATGGCATATTGATCAGAAACGTTTGAAGAAAATAGAAGATGCGACACAGAAGGATATAAAAATTATTCATTTAAATAAAAGATATATATCTCCAATAAGAGAAATATTGGAAATGAAGATTTCCACATATAATGAAACACTTAGAAGCACTATCACTGAATTTGAAGAAATATTCAAATCTTATTACTGGATTACATGGAAAGAGCTGAAAGAATTAGAGAAAAGAAAATCTACATTGGAAAAGAAAAAGGAAGAAATTATTAAAGAAAATGAAAAACTTCAAATGGAAATTACCATAAAGAATGATGAGGAAAGGACAGTAAAAAAAAGGTTACGTAAATTCAGAAAAGGTGAAAGATCTCATGAAATTAAAAAAAAAAAAAAAAAAAAAAAAAGTAAAAAAGAAAGGATATACATATCTATGTTTTTTCATAATTTAAAAATATTATGAAATATATGAATAAATGATAAAACATGTATTTTTTTTTTTTTTGAACATTTTAACTAAAAACTAAACCTATTTTTCAATTGTTCTCATAGTTTTGAACATATAACATTTTTAAATATTCTTATTTTATTACAATTTTTTTTTTTATTTATATAAATATATTATTACAAAAATTTTTAATTAGTTATGGCTAGAAATAAAAAAACAAAATTTACATATTCTAATTTCATTTATATTATAAATAAAATAAGTCTTAAAAAATTACATTTTAAAAAAGATATTATATAAATAGAAAAGTAAATTATTCAAAATTATCTTCTTTATTAAAATTCTAAATAAAAAAGATGGTAATTACATTTTGTGTAAATAAAATTAAAATTATAAGAAAATTGTTATAAATACTTATATATATTTCTTTTTTTTTTTTTTTTTTTTTTTTTTTTTATTAAAGATGGTATTCTTCTTAAAAAATAGATGTAAATAAAATTATTTTTTTTTTTATAATTTTTATTTTTTATAAATTCAAAAAATTTTTTTTTTTTTTTTTTTTTTTTTTTTTTCAGATACTTTTTAGTCATCAATAATTTTCAGACGTAAATTACCCTTTTTATTTTATTGTATCATCATCAAAAAAAAAAAAAAATATACATTTTTATATAAAGAAATAATGTCAATTCAAAATTTTTACCTTAAAAAATAGTATATTTATTTTGTTATAAAAAAATTTACAATTATTTTTGTTTAATAAATATATAGAAGTCTTGTTAATAATAATGATAAATATAATACTTTATTTTAATTAAAAAAAAAAAAAAAAAACATAAAATTTTTTTTTTTTTTTTTTTTTTTTTTTTTTACTTTTTAAAGGAATAGAAATTATATATATATATAAAGAAAAAAGATTATTTTAAATTATTTTTTTTTTTTTTATTTTTTTTTTTTTATTTAAAAAAAAAAAAAAAAAAAAAAAAAAAAAAGTGAGCTATAGTTAATTTATCTATTAAAAAAAAAAAAAAAATTGAAAAAATTAGCTAAATTTTTATAAATTAAATATATATTTATAAATTATGTAAAAAGATGATATTTTAGTCAATAAATTGTAAGCAAACGAATTAACAATTAAAAAGGATAAGATTTTAGTAAATGGATTAATAAATTAATAAAATATTAAATCAATAATACAATAAATAATCACTTAAATATAAAGTATTTCTTTGCAAAGCTCATGCTTTGAAGAATATAAAATATAAAAATATATATATATTTATATTTATATATATATATATACATATATATATATATATATATATATATATAAATATAATTTTTTTTTTTTTTTTTTTTTTTAAATCAAATTTTATTAATCATGCTCATTTTTTTATTTTAATTTTTTTTTTTTATAAATTATATTTTTTCCTTGATAATTATTTTTGATTTTAACCAAGTAAAAAATTATATATGTATACATTCATTATATAAAAAATAAATTTTATGCATAAAAAATATTTATTAAATAAAATTTATTAACGTGCAATATTATACAAAAAGCTACTTACATGGTTTTGTTTTGAAGTAAAATTTTTTTTTTTATGAATCTATATTAAAATGGATAGAAAAATATAAAATGAAATTTTCTTAATTTTGTTTATTTCATCAAAATGTTTTATATTCAAAATTTATTAATCATAAATTTTACAATCATAACATTAAAAAGTAAAATGAAAATTATAAATATATATATATATATATATAATACATACATATATGCACAAAAAAATGCTTAAAAAATTGTTGAATTTAATTATAAAAAATAATTAATAATCCTTTAATTTTTTATATTTACTTTTTTTTTAAAATTTTTTTACATTGAACTTTTTTTTTTTTTTTTTTTTTTTTTTTTTTTTTTATTTTTTTTTTTTTAATATTTAATCTATATAATAATGGAAAATAATAATAAAGTATTATTATTTTCTCTAATTATAAAGTAAGTATTAATTGTAATATATTTACTTATTCATTATTTNAGATTAATAAAGAACGTGTGAGTGATTTATATTAATTTTAATTATTGTGGAAATATATATCTGCTATAAGTAAACTTTATACATATAATTTACACATGTCCTATAAATGATATTTGAATAAAAAAAGAATATATATTTTTATGTGTACGTGCTAAATATGAAAGAAATATATGCATATTTAAATCTATATGCTAAAAGTACAGGAAAAAAAAAAATATAATTATTTTTTTTATTTTTTTTGGATAATGCATTGTTTATTACCTATTTAACGATTTTACTAATATTTAACAAACAAATCAGTAGACAGAATCCAGAGAAAGCTTCACTTATTTTATTTTTATTAAATTAAAATATAAATCAAATTATTCACTTTTATTAATTAGAAATGAAATATTATATTGTTTATAATAATAATAAGATTTTCTTCATATTATAATTTCTTGTATATGCAGATCATTGAATTTACCTTAATATTTCCTTTTTACTTTTGGAATATATATGAAAATATTATTCTATCTTCTTCTAAAACAAAATAAAAAATACTTTTTTATATATATAATTTTTTTTTTATTTTACAAAGTATAAAACTAAGTTATATTTTTATTTTATGTTAAATAAGCTTTTATATAAACTTGAAGTAAATTGATTTATACAGTTCTTATTTAATGTTACTTCACTTAATTTCATTTTCATTTATACAATATATGATATCATTTAAATTTATTTTCACCTTATCCTTTTTATTTTGCTTTAGTTTATTTAGATAAACATCATATTAATTGTTGTTTAGTTTCATTTTAAATGAAAAGATTAATGCTACAAATTATTTTGTAATGTATTATAAATATTATATTAACATACGTTGTAATGATCTAAATAATAATGATTAAAATAGACAAAAATATTAAAGCATTATCATTATTTAACACAACTAATAACCTCCATGATTTTTACATTTAAAATTGTAATCATGAAATTATTAATATTATTCTCTTAATTATTTTTATAAAACCTATAACAAGTTATGTAAGAAAATTTCTGTAATTAACTACAATGAAGTATGTGTAACACCTGTGTTAATTATAGTAATCATTATTTTTATCCTTAAATAATTTAATTTTTATAGGAAAATTTAATTTTAATTATTAAAAATAATATTCAAGACTGTTATTATCTTAAGAAACTAATGTGATTATTATGATAATTTATGTTACAATCCTTATTAAGGTAAATAATCAATCTTTTTTTAATATTTATAATCATCAAGATCAATCTACAAATATTTTACTCTTACTTTTTATTATTTGACTTTATTTAAAAATAGTAAAAGTAGAAGGAGTAATAATATATATGCGGAAAACAATTATTATATTAAATTTTTTAAATTCTTATTAATTTTTTACTTAATTTTTAAAATAATTTTATGTAATATATACAAATTTTTTTTTTAATTTCTATTTCTATAGTATTTTCCATTTTTTCAATTAAACAAAAAAATATTATTTTAACGTATTAATATTTATTTTAACTTTATTTTACCATATATTAATCTTTTCCATCATTTAAAAAAAAAAAATTTCATATATAAAATTTTTCTACTACTGTAATGTAAGGATATAATATAGAATTGCACTAAACAATTTAAGGTATAACATTTCAGAACTTTTTTGTAAATGTGGAAAAAATTATTTTTTAAAATTGGATACTATATCCCCTTAAATTATACTCTATTTACTTTTCATATCACTTTTGTTATTAATTGAATCTTAAAATATAAACATAAACTAAAACTAAACCAAAAAGAAAATTTATATAATTATTAATAAAAAATAAATGATATTGCATTTTTCTTATAAATAATGAATTATATAAGAAAACAAAAATCTCTATATTTGCAATATATGATAATGAATAATCAATAAATTTTTATTTTTAAATTTAAAAAAAAATGTTTTAAAATTGTATAATAAAAAGGAAAAAAAATAAAACAAAACTGTTACTAAAAATGTTAAGGCTTTTCTATATATATTAAAATTGTATTTTTTCATATACTAAGTAAACTTTGGTTTTAATATAAGCATTAAAATAAATACATATATATGCAGTCATTTATTCAAATAAATGTTTTTATACATATTAAGATTTATCTATATTTTTCATATAATATTTTATCACTTTTTTTATATATTAATATTGTGCTCAATTAACGTAAATATATTTTAGAATATTCATTTATTATAATTTTTATTATATATAAGATTCCCCAACAAACTATATTAAAATTTTTTGATATTTAACTCATTATAGGAACTTATGTTTTAGAGCAAATAAATATTAACATTTATAAATATTTTATATTCCTAAATTTGAGAAAAATTTATACGTTTTTTATTAATAACTATGTAAGCATATAAATATATATATAATGAGTTTGGCATATAGATGATTAAGTTATTTATAACATTATTATATTTTATCTGATTTGGAATTCAATTCATATTTCAGAAGTAACAACAAAATATAAATATTTTATTTTTCAACTTTTTTATTATTTACCTCTCTTATATTTAATATATCCTTATGAGTTGTATAAATTGAATGAAAAATTAATTTTATTTTTTTCTTTTCCGTCTAAAATTAGTATCACCATACAAACTTATTCTACATAATTTTTATAATATAATTAATGAACTTTATTATTTTAAATATTCAAGTCTTATTACATTCAATATGATTTTTAACAATTTCTCTACTGCAAAGAGAAATTTTTATTATAATATTTCTTTTGTAGTTTTATTTATTTTCTTTTGAAATTATTTTCTTTTGAGTCTTAAATTCTTTTTATTTATATATAATCAAGTTTTTATTTAATTTATTCTTAGAAAATAAAAATATAATTTTTATTAATTTTACAAATATTTTAAAGAATCCTATATATTTTTTTTACTTTTTTTTTTATAGGTCCCGTTAAATTTACATTATTAGTAATTGTTCACTAATGTTTTAAATTAAAGTGTATTTGAATTATGAAATCCCTAGATATCTTTCATATTGATAAAAACTTATAAAAAATTTTTATTATATTATATAACATTACCTTTTAAAAATATATCCTAAATTTTTTCTTTTTTTCGCATTTTCTTTACAAAAAAAATACAAAATATTTTATTTTATCATAAAATAGTCATTATCTAATAGATTAAGTAAATGTGTAAACCCTTATTATTATCTGGAAAATTATACATACAGCGCATTGCTAATAGGTTTTATTATTTATGTATTTAACATTATAATTTTATAAAAACCTATGTTCAAGAAGTTATCTGTTGCATTTTATTGTATCAATAGTTAGTAAAAGGTATTATTAACTTTTTTTGGAATAAAAAATATAACTGTGTGGAAAATAGTCTTGCAAATGTTAGACAAAAAAAAAAAATTAGTTGTTAAGTTTTTTTTTCTTTTTTTAAATTTAAAATATATATAAAAATATATATATATATATTTTTTATAAAATGATTTATTGTTAAAAAAAAAAAAGAAAAGTTGTTAACTAAAAAGATTCTTGTAGTATATTTTATTTAAATTCTTATAAGAATATTTTATATTAA